CACCTGAGGGCTGAGGGAGAGGAGGGTCTCTCCCACCCGGGCTCGGGCTCAAGACCCAGCTCCCCTAGCAAGTGGAAGCCCCTCCAAAGAGGGAGGGTGTGACGGACACCCCTGTGGTGGAGCTCAGCGCAGAGCCAGGCTCTGTGGCTCTGACCCAGCAGCCGGCACACGCATGGCCCCATCCCTCAGCCTGAGCTCTCTCTCCAGCAGTCAGGAGACAAACCAGCTTTGGGGCCGCGCCCAGTGGGTGTTGCCAACCGCTATCCCGGCCTCTGAGTCCTCTCCCTCCTCCCCTCCACCTCCCCTCTCTTCCTCTCCTGGCGTTCTTCCTCCCAGCCCTGACTCGCCTGCTGGCCTGTGGGTGGGTTCCCCGAGACGGATGAAGCCGGGCATGAGAGGTCAGGTCCCTACCCGTGATTGCGTCAGCTCTCCGTGGGGAAGTCAGGGTGGGATCCTTCAACCTCCTGGCCCCCATTTTTCTTTCAGGCACTTGGGTGGGAGTAGTCTGCCTTAGTTCCTAGGACTATCGGTACTAAATTAGGTGCCGAAGAAATCAGGCTGGGTTTGTTCCCCTCTTTAAAAAGAATTTTTTTAAGTGGGGCATGGATGGAAGTGAGGAGTTAGAGCCCCATTCTTGGGGTGAGGGCACGATTCATTTTCTCCTTTTGGTTGCTAAAATGATCATGAATTAATATTTCCCACGAGCAGAGCCCCGAGACCTGTCAGCCTGCCTGCGAGTTCATTCCCTGCCCACAGGTCTCAAACTGGGCCAAGTCTGAGAGTGACAGACAATTTACAATTCTGAGAAAAGGTCAGATTCCCAAATCTCCTGGCTCTTTTATCTGTCCCTCCCCCAACATCCAGGCACCAAGGTTCTCCCTGGTTGTCCCCACTCTGTCCCAAACCCTCCAACCCTGACAATAACCCATCATTGTTATCTCATTTGGTGTTTGCAAAGCACTTTACAACCATTGTTGTGAGTTTTTCCTCTTATTTACAAAGTACTTTACAACTATTATTACAAGTCTTTCCTCTGAATGTGGGGTAAAGCTGACCCACTTCCGAGAGCTGGATTCCCACTGCCTTCTAAGTGGTTGGTCCAATTCACATGATGCCCAGCACTGGGTGGGCGGGGCTTTCGTAATTCAAGGCCATGGCTGTGCCCTTCCTTATTAGAAATCAGGCTGCTGCCCACTTGCCCTCGGGAAGTTCCACCCAGTGCATGTCTGATGAAGTGGTTATTAGCAAGGTTCACACGGTCAGATGATGGTGCTGGTTTGGGGCTCCCAGCCTGTCACCTCCCACCTCCCCCAGAGTGGGTGCTAAACAGCAGGGTTTGAACCTCTTTCTCTCCCTTCTTCAGTTCAAGGGGGGAAATATATGTATGTGTCAGATGTAAGAGAGTAAAACAGTCCCTTCCCCCAGAGTGTACTGGGAGCTGCTTGAGGTGATGAAAAAAACTTTTTTGTTTCGTTATTTTTTTTCACATTTTAAAAGGTAAGCAATTATTACATTACAGAACGGTGTTTTAAAAAATGAAAAGTCCAGGGACTTCCCTGGTGGCACAGTGGTTAAGAATCCACCTGCCAAAGCAGGGGACACGGGTTCGAGCCCTGGTCTGGGAAGATCCCACATGCCATGGAGCAACTAAGCCCGTGCGCCACAACTACGGAGCCTGTGCTCTAGAGCCCGCGAGCCGCAACTACTGAGCCTGCGTGCCACAACTACTGAAGCCCACGTGCCTAGAGCCTGTGCTCTGCAACAAGAGAAGCCACCGCAATGAGAAGCCCGTGCACTGCAACGAAGACCCAACGCAGCCAAAAATAATTAAGTAAATTTAAAAAATAAAAAAATAAAAATGAAAAGTCTATACAATTTGATTAGCCTAATAGAAGCCCATTCCTGGTAGTCTCAGCTGCCATCACAGTGTATCTGGTGTTTTGCGTGATGCATTTTTCATTTAACATGGGAGGTAGGCATTTTTCTTTATTGTTAGGTTGTCTTTGTCATCATCATTTACAATTATGTAACGTTCCATTGAGTGGGTCGGATGGCAAGATTTTCTGGTAGAAGATATGGAAACTTTGCCCATTTGGGGGTGTGGTGGTTTGTAAGGAGATGTGGTGCATCTGAGGGATGCTTTTAGGAAGCACGGCCTTCACCTCCCCATCCTTCCTTTGGCTGCTGTTGTAACACCTGACTCTTCAATCTGGGACTTCTACACTTCCTACCCTAGGCAAGAAGTCTCTGCCACCGTAATGCCCACCTCGTTTAAGATATGTGGCCCAATTGAGTTCAGTAATGTTTACTCCTTATTGATACTCCGGCCCGATCTACCCAACCAGGTCATTAGCATCCTGAGCTCCTGTGACATCTCTCGGAGTGCTGAAATAGCAGATGCTCAGTTGCCAACCTCCAGTGCCTTCCCCCAGCCTGTAAAATGGTTGCTTGACTGTGTAACCCATTCCGTGTGGCAAGAAGGCATTCCTAAGGCGAGCCTCGGTGCTGGGTTCTCAAGGTAGTCAGGCCAGTAACCAGTAGAGAGACCAGGACTGCTAGGGAGGCTCCTGGGCTGAGATCCTGTCCTGGGTGTAAAACAATAAATATGAAGAGAAAAGGGAATCTCCCCTCCAGAAAAGAGGAATGGATGGAGAAAGACCCTCTCCCTGTGCAGCCTTCTTTAGATGAACTGGAACATAGGAAAGAGGTTGGTTTGCTTATCTTTAAAAGGAAAAGAGTGTGAATCTTCATCGGTGAGAGGCACGTTCTGAAATATTTATGAGTGAAATGACAGAATGTCTGGGATTTTCTTCAAAAGAAATCAGGATGGGGGAAAGTGGGTGGAGGAGGTGTACATGAGACAAGATTGGCCACAAATTGTTGGAAGCTGGATGGTGATTAAATAAGGGCTAATTTTCCTATTTGGGCCACTTTTTAATATGTTTAAATGTTTTCATTGTTAAAAAAAAAAACAGACTAATTGGGTTGTGCTCTGTTTGGACTGGAAAGGTGATGTAAAAAGCCCTCCATCGTGATTTAGACAGGAATGCAGGGGATCAATTTAGAGGCTGTAGCGCCATCTAGTGTTGATTGCAAACACTCTACAAAATGAGGACATTGCCAGCGCCCCTCCTTGGTCTGAGGGCCTTTTGTGAGCTCCCCTGGCCTTTCCAGTCCCCTCACCGGAAGGCTGGGCCGAGGGAACAGAGCCACTGGGCAAAGGCAGGTGGAGGGTGACGTGCAGGTTGTTCACTCCACGCCTCCCCCCGGGTTTGGGGAAGCAAGCCGAGAACAGGAGTCATCGTGTCATGTGCGGCTCTCAAGGCAGGTGACCTTGCTGGAGGGTTCTCAGTGTGACCCAGGTGCAAAAATAGCCTCTCTTGTGACCGGTGTGTGCTCAGCTCCCCGGCCTGAGCAAACAGCCCCTCACACCTGCACACTGTTTACTCATAGTTACTTGTTTGCAGGTGCAAATGACTGTTTGTGTACCCAGAGTTGAGGAGAGGGCCTCCACCATCCTCTTCTCCAGCCCGAGTTCCCTCAGAGCAGGTAGCGAGGCCACAGGACTAGCAGAATGTGCGGCCTTAAACCCCAGGGTAAGGGGCTAGGCTGATGGAGGGAGAGCTCTTACCCTCCTCCCCAAGTCTCCCCCCTGAACTAGAGAAAAATCCACTTTTGCGTCTGGTAGTAGGACAAGAACAGTCTGAACACCAGGGTGGCTGTATTTAGGGACAGAAAATTTAGAAAGGATATAAAAATGTTCAAAATAGGAAGCATTTTGTATACATGGAGTCAGAGAGACTTCTGGAGGTTCTGAGCCAGACTTTATGTAGATCACAAGGAATAAGGAAACTGGCCGAGCCTATCTCAGCAGGATGACTGAAATGGCCACGAGTGAGATGAGTCAGTTGTTGAATTCTATAGACATGGAAGACAAAGGTGATGGGGAGGGAGGGGCCTGCGAGTGAGTGCAAGGAAATGGCAGGGATGGCCACGTTCCTGTGGACGGGTTCCACTCTAAAGCACCATTGCTCATAATATGCACCTTTATTTTATGTTCCAATAAGCAAAAAAAATGTCAAGCTGTGACACAGCATATCGTACGGATACATTGAAATGAGAAAAATGAGTTACAGCCTTTTTCTGCAGGAAAGTTTGAAAATTTCAAGCACTTTCAGAAAAAGATAGTCCCTCTGGCTCAGTAATTCTGTGTCTAGGGGGGTATCCTAAGGAATAAGCAGAAATGCTAAGATTAGCTTTCAAAATGAGCGGTGTCTACAAAAGTCAGAAACTGGCTAAGTAGAAGTCCAATGAGAATAAAGGATAGTGCAGTACTAGCATGGGATAATATACACTAAGATACGTTTATAAAGAATTTCTAATGCGGGAAAATGCTTTGGTATGAAGTGAAAAAATGGGCTCAAAATGATACAGCTTGACCTCAAGTAGACAAAAATATGTCAATATATAAAACGTTGCAAAGGATCTAACAGAACAAGATGTTAATAACATGGTGATCTTTGAGTTACAGGATCATGTATGATTCCTATATTTTTTTACACATTCCAGCATTTAATTTTCCCGAAGTAAATATTTATTATATTTTTATTGAAAAGGAAATGGAATCTCAATTTTGAAAGGGAAAATAGAGAGAAAGAAGGTCTTGAGTGGAACTCAGTGTTAGGTGAAACCCCGCCCCCGCCAGGCTCTGAAGAGAGAAACCAAGGCGCTCGTGGTCTCTACCACACTCTGTTCCCTTTCTCATGACCAGGGAGAGCCTGCTGTGTCTGGGATGCCGGGGGTAAGGTCCGCTTGCTAGGACAGCCCTCTGAGCCGGTTCCCAAGGCTTAGGGCCGAGCGAGGAAAAGCCAGGCAGCCCAAAGCCATCCGTCTTCCACGCCTTGCAAGGAGAGGGCATTATTTCCTTGGTGTCTAGATTCTCCGCTGTGAGATTTCTGGCATAAACAGAGAACTAATCCTCTGTATTGTTTCCCACCCAGTAGATATGTTTGACGACTTCTCAGAAGGCAGAGAATGTGTCAACTGCGGGGCCATGTCCACCCCGCTGTGGCGGCGGGATGGGACGGGACACTACCTGTGCAACGCCTGCGGCCTCTACCACAAGATGAACGGCATCAACCGGCCCCTCATCAAGCCCCAGCGCCGCCTGGTAAGCCAGTGCCTGGCGCCCGGCAGCCGGGCTTCTCTCCCTCTGTCAGCTCCTGGCTTCAGGGCTTGGCCTTGGTGGGAAATTCCTGGTTTTGAGTTTGGGGCTTCAAGTCATGTTTCAGAGAAGGTGCAGGTTTAAGGGCTGGATGAGTGGCAAATAGTAATTTCTTACACCTTCGGAGTTGGCTTGAGCTACGAGGATGGTCCAGGCCATTTAGTTCAACCCCTTAATTATGCAGAAATGAACAGTGAGGCTCAGAAAAGCTAATGGCCTTGCCCATGGCCACTTAGACACTGAGTCTCCCCTCAGGGACCAGAGTCCAGACTTCCTGCTCCCTGACCCAGCGTTGTCTGGTGTATCGCCTATGTTCACATCAACTCCACAAGGAAGGCTAATTCATCCTTTCTGTGTTGTGACTTACCCTGTTTTCAGTTGATCCGTTGATAAACCCAAAGACCAGGGAGATTATGTGGGGCATGCTGGGCCCTGTGGCTGGGGAAGAGTTGGAACCAAGTTTTGTCTCCTAGTTTCCTGGTCTTTTCTACTAAAATTTGATTTTGACCAATTTGAACTAGCTTTCCACAGATATTAGGGAAAGAAGAACAGAGGGGATAAACCCTGGTGCTTCCCTTTCTTGAGGTCAGTTTTTGAAGACACTCGGACACAGTAATTCCTCACCCCCACTCACTCCCGGCCCCTGAGGCCCGGATTCGTTCTGCTTTGGGGAGAAGCTTTTCTGCCTACAGTGTGCAGGGCTTGCTGGGCTTTTCCCTGACGCGAGTGACTGATAATGTTGCTGACGCCGCAGTTATGACCAGGATCTGCCATCCCCCTGCAGCACAGCCCTTTTGCTCCCACGCCCCCAGGAGAGGCTTAGGGACGCGGCATCCGAGCATCCGGTGCGGTGGCTGGTCTGAGACTCTCACACAGCCATGCCCCACACTCGCTGCCGGTGAAGCGAGATGCTGCGGCGCCTGCCGTGTCCTTGTCCTTGGACCTGAAGGGTCTGTCTCCTGTGTTGCAGTCCGCCTCCCGCCGAGTGGGCCTCTCCTGCGCCAACTGCCAGACTACCACCACCACTCTGTGGCGCCGCAACGCCGAGGGCGAACCCGTGTGCAACGCCTGCGGCCTCTACATGAAGCTCCACGGCGTAAGGGTCCCCCGACCGTGTCCCGCGCTTTCCTCCACCGCTCGGGTCTCACCCTTCTTCCTCCCTGCAGATCATAATTCATTTTCTCCTTCTTAACAAAGAAATGTAGATCTGGAAGGGACCTTAGAGACTGTCGTAGTGAGTTAGGGTTGCTATAGCAATACCATAGACTGGGCGGCTTAAACAATAGCAGTTAACCTCCATGGTTCTAGAGGCTGGAGCTCCGAGATCAGAGGCCAGCAGGGTCGAGGGAGGACCCCCTGTCCAGTGGCAGACTTCTCTCACTGTGTCCTCACTTGGTGGAAGGGGCAAAGGAGCACTGTGGGGTCTCTATTGTAAGGGCACTAATCCCATTCATGAAGGCTCCACCCTCATGACCTCATCACCTCCCAAAGGCCCCACTTCCTAATACCATCACCTTTCATGTTAGGTTTGTGCACATATGAATTTGAGAGGGACACAGACATTCAGACCATAACAGAGACATTGCTATGGAACATCATTTCCATCTTTAACATTACATAAGCCTAATTCCCATTTCACAGGTGAAGAGACTAAAAAATAGTCTATATGTGTGTGGTAGTATGATATATAACAAAGGTAACAATTCAGTGGATAAGGGATAGCTTTTTAAGAATGACTGTATTGACATAATCTGGAAAACAAAAAGAAAACTTGACCTCTACCTCCTACCAAAAGCAAAAATAAACTTGGATGTATTAAACATATGAAACATAAAACATCTTTAAATAGAGACAATAAAAATACTAGAAGAAAATGTAGAGGGGGAGTATTTATATAACCTTGAGGATGGGAGGAGACGTTTTCTTCAGCAAGTTTTCAAAACTCTTAAGTCATAAAAGAAAAATTAGATATATTTGATTGTGGAACATTTCATATTAGTGTATGGAAAAAGATACCCCAAGAAAGTAAAACCAATATACACATGCATGAGAAAAAGGATTAATATTTCCAGAATACAGAGAGCTTCTACAAGCCTCTTTTTTTTCTGGCCACACGGCTTGTGGGATCTTAGTTCCCCAACCAGGGATCGAATTCGGGCCCTTGGCAGTGAAAGTGCAGAGTCCTAACCACTGGACCGCCAGGGAATTACCAAAGCTCTTTATGTTCTAATTTGGAAAAATCTCCATTACATAGTGCTTAAAAACGAAGTCCGTGCAGAACACTGTACATAGCATGGTTCCAGTTTTATAAAGAAAGAGGGAGAACATAATTTATATGTAGTTGCTTATATATACATTGAACACTTTTGGACGGTTGAATGCACATACATATGTATATAGATATGTACATGTGCACACATGTTTGAGAACTTTTTAAAATGTAAGAAACAGGCTGTTATTCCAGTTGCCTCATGGGCAGAGGATTGATAGTAGTAAGATGGGAGGGGTTGTTATTAACTTAATCTCATGCATCTTTTCATGTTTTCTTGTTATAATGAGCTTAAAAATGTCTAAAAATAGAGAAAGCCCATGCACAGCAACAAAGAGCCAACACAGCCAAAAAAAAAAAAGTCTAAAAATATAGTTAAGAATACTCATAAGAAAACATATTGACCCTTGAACAATGCAGGGGTTAGGGGTGCCGACCTTCTGCACTCAAAAATCCATTTCTAACCTATAGTCTGCCCTACATGTACGTGATTTCTCCTTACCCGTGGCTCCACATGTGCAGAGTCAACCAACCACGGATCATGTAGTGCTGTAGTATTTACTCTTGAAAAAAAATCCACGTTTAAGTGGACCCATGCAGTTCAAACTCATGTTGTTCAAGGGTCAACTTTTGTAAGAAGTGTATACAAGGATACTTGTTGAATCATTGTAATAATGAAAATGGAGGAAAAAAACCTTTGGGAGGAAAATGGTTAAAGAAACTATTGTTCTTCAATAGGGGAATGATAAAAGGAACTGATAGAGGAATATTATGTAGGTATTAAAAGGATTGTGTCTGTAAAAAATTAGAAATAGAATTACTATATGATACAGCAATCTATTTCTGGTATAGATCCAAAAAGAATTGAAAGCAGAATCTCGAACAAACATTTGTATGCTCATGTTCACAGCAGCATTATTCGCAATAGCCAAAAGGTGGAAGCAACCCATGTGTCCATTGATGGATGGATGGATAAGCAAAATGTGGTCTACACATACGATGGGATATTATTCAGCCTTCAAAAGGAAGGAAGTTCTGGGCTTCCCTGGTGGCGCAGTGGTTGAGAGTCCACCTGCCGATGCAGGGGACACGGGTTCGTGCCCCGGTCCGGGAAGATTCCACATGCCGCGGAGCGGCTGCGCCCGTGAGCCATGGCCGCTGAGCCTGCACGTCCGGAGCCTGTGCTCCACAACAAAAAGGAAGGAAGTTTTGACACAGGCTACAACACGCATAGACCTTGAGGACGTGGTGCTAAATGAAAGAAGCCAGCCACAAAAAGACAAACACAGTGTGATCCCACTTATATGAGGTCCCAGAGGAGTCAAATTCCTAAAGACAGAAAGTAGAATAGTGGTTGCCAAGGGCTGAGGGGACGGGGAAATGAGAAGTGACCAGTTAATGAGCAGAGTTCAGTTCTGCAAAATGAAAAGTGTTCTGGAGATGGATGGTGGTGATGGTTCATAGCAATGCAAGTATACTTTTTTTTTTTTTAAGGAGTCTCATGAAATGTTATTCAATTTCAAGGGTACAGACAAGAAGCAAATTTCACAAAGAAATAATGCAGCAATGTAGTTACTGGCTTGGATGGCTGTACTTGGGGTTGTTCAGAGTGCTAAGAGCTACCTGGATTATCAGCTATCCAGTTTTCTCCATTCTTCAGCTCTTTGCCACACGAGGATCCATTAGTCCTAACTAGAATGGAAATGAGGTGTACTTACCGAGATAAAATTTTATTCTTAGGATGCCAGAAAATGTAGAACATCTTTCTGAAGTAATAGAGGCTTCAGTCTGTAAGTGGGTCACTTATTTCCCCAATAGGTTTACCTCTAAGTCAACTTGAAGCACAGCCTTCAGGATTTCAAGCTTAAAAAAGTGGTTTAAACTATTTTCATCCTAAAATATTTTAAAATGGTTACACTGACTGGAAATTCCCTGAAATGAAACAGCTCAGTTATATTTGATAACTCTGCAGCACCCCAAATTCATTAGACACATTTAATGCATAGTTCCCAGACCTGCAATAATACAACCATAACCATTCTAATCATATCATAGTTTAATAAGATATTGACTGGTCCCTCTAGATAAAGTCTACAAAGCAAAGGACTGAGCAGGTCTGTTGCCACGTCTCCTCAACGGCTCTATAGTAGGCACAAGCAGTTGAGCTTTTACTTTAACTAAGGTTATTAAGAGTTACTAAATTGGGGCACTTCCCTGGTGGCACAGTGGTTAAGAATCTGCCTGCCAATGCAGGGGACATGGGTTCGAGCCCTGGTCCGGGAAGATCCCACATGCCGCGGAGCAATTAAGCCTGTGTGCCACAACTACTGAGTGTATGCTCTACAGCCCGCGTGCCACAACTACTGAAGCCTGTGTGCCTAGAGCCCGTGCTCCGCAACAAGAGAAGCCACTGCAATGAGAAGCCCGCACACCGCAACAGAGTAGCCCCCGCTCACCGCAACTAGAGAAAGCCCGTGCGCAGCAACAAAGACACAAAGCAGCCAAAAATAAATAAATAAATAAATTTATTTTAAAAAAAAAAAGAGTTACTAAATTGACAGTGATTGAGTGAATTTGTAAAGTATCCTCACCATTTTTTCAATTCATTAAGAGGTGAAATGATAATCTTAGAATAAGGATAAAAGGATTATAGGTGCATTGGAAAATTAAAATGATTGGATTTGATATGGCTGCTAATAGCCCACAGTTAAATAGAAGGAAAAAAAGTGGGGAGGGAAAGCCTTTCTGATCCACACCAAATTTCATACAATTACGCATAAGATTGTGTTTAGGTACAAATCCACTGCAATTCAAGTTTTTAGACAGAGGCCAATTATAAATTCATTATTTTGAAGTCAAAAGTACTTATCACATCTTCTAGATCCCACTTAAATAAAGTCTTCTTAAAAACTTACTGCTTTTTTTTTTGCGGTATGCGGGCCTCTCACTGTTGTGGCCTCTCCCGTTGTGGAGCACAGGCACCGGACGCGCAGGCTTAGCGGCCATGGCTCACAGGTCTAGCTGCTCCGCGGCATGTGGGATCCTCAAGGACCGGGGCACGAACCCATGTCCCCTGCATCGGCAGGCGGACTCTCAGCCACTGCGCCACCAGGGAAGCCCAAAAACTTATTTCTTAATAGTCATATTTTAAACCACTAGGTTTCAGTAGGCTGGTGAATAGCCATACTCTATATCAATACTAGAGGACATACTTTACATGAAAAATCATAGCAAGGCAGTTTACCAGAATTCTCATAGAAATGCACATTAGCCTATTTTACATGGCACCTGTAAATAGCATCTGAGGAAATTTTTACAAAGATAATTCAGTAGTCTTGGTAATAATGTACACTAAAACTTTGGCATCTGTGTTACATTTTAAATCAACCAATAGTTCTATCAGTTCCTGCAAGCAGCCTACTTGAATATGACAGTCAACTCACCAGTAAAATTTCAGTGCCATTTATCAACGTGTTATGATGAAAAACTTTAATTAAAATAAATTCATTCACCTAGGATTTTAACTGATTTTTATAGATGAGAAGGAACCCGAATGATTCTATTTATGATACATTTATAAATCAAGTAAGAATCTGGCAAGACCTCCAAAGCCAGTGGGAAATGATCTGTCTGATGCCTATGGTGGGAAGGGTATAAAGCACAGCTGTTAAAAGATGGTGACTGGCAGAAAACAAAGTTCTTCTATTTTCTAGTGACGCTGGCAGAAAAAAATACTGCTTCAAGATTTGGACACACATAGAGATACATCTGCCAGTGCAAATGTCTATCACTAGGTCCCCTCTCCTTTTAAAAAAGATATATTAGAATACGCATTCTCAAATGGGGGTGGTGTCACCCCCAAGTAGGACCAAAAAGAACCCCTAGTCTTTTCATGTATAAAGCAGATATAATACATATACAGCATATCTATGATATTAAAATTCATTGGGGGAATTCCCTGGCGGTCCAGTGGTTAGGACTCCATGCTTTAACTGGCGAGGGCTCGGGTTCAATCCCTGGTTGGGGAATTAAGATCCCACAAGCTGTGTGGCACGGCCAAAAAAATTCATTGGGGCACTATTTAAAAAAAAAAAGTTTAAAAGGCTTGGGGGGTGGGGTTGATGAAAAAAAGTTTTAAGGGGGCTTCCCTGATGACGCAGTAGTTGAGAGTCCGCCAGCCGATGCAGGGGACACGGGTTCGTGCCCCGGTCCGGGAAGATCCCACATGCCGCGGAGCGGCTAGGCCCGTGAGCCATGGCCGCTGAGCCTGCGCGTCCGGAGCCTGTGCTCCGCAACGGGAGAGGCCACAACAGTGAGAGGCCCCGCGTACCACAAACAAACAAAAAAAAGTTTTAAGAAACACTGAATTAGTGACTCAGTCACATGCATTTCTTCTCCCCACCATCACTATGCTATGTCAAAATACCCTGTGGCATTTTTGGTATTTGGAATTTTCATAAGAACATAATGTCTCTAGGACAATACTCCCAGAATAATTAAGATTAAGAAATTTTTCATCAGCTCTAAGCACATTTAATTATGGCATCTAAGAGGAGACTTATCCTTAGAAACTGACACCAAGTTAGGAAAATCAATTAACATGTATCTGATCATAATTACGAGTACAATCTTAACGTCTATGTTAAGAATTACAGGTTTGAGGTTGGCACTGGCAGCCGAAATTCAAAATTGCCACTTAAAATTCAAAATGAAAATCTGCGAAGTCTTTTTAGAAAGCATTCTCTTTCTTTACACTATACTGTCACAGGTGACTTTATCCATTAATGCGAGTATACTTGACACTACTGAACTGCACACTTGATAATGCTTAAGATGGTAAATTTTATGTGATGTGCATTTTATGACAATTTTTTAGAAAAAGTAGCGAGGTGGGTGGGGATAAACACGAGGACAGGATTCTTCTGAAGTCAGGATGGTCTTCAAGAGGTGGGCGCAGGGCGGGGGGGAGGGGGTGGCAGGGCAGGGAGGGGAGGATACTTTCCTCCACGAGTGGGAGTGCTGTCTCATCTGACTCTCAGTTGACTAGAAGGCAGTTCGAGTTCACGTATGCTACTGCACTTCTCTTTTTTTTTGGCCGCACCATGCGCGGCTTGTGGGATCTTAGTTCCCTGACCAGGGATTGAACCCGGGTCCTCAGCAGTGAGAGTGCAGAGTTCTAACCACTGGACCGCCAGGGAATTCCCTGCACTTCTTTCTTAACAATTCCATGTTCATATCTCCAATGTGGTCATCACTTGTCCTTCTGTATTTGCAGGTGTGGCCTCTGTTAGTCCCATATGGGAGACTAGCACAGACCAGGGGCTAAACAATTTGGTTGGCCAGGCCTGAAAGAAGCCAGATGTGGGGCAGGCACACTATTTTAAACTAGTAGAAAGATGACCCTGCAGGCCTGCCCCCGACACTTGTTTAGGCATCTTGAATGGCTCAGGAGTGTGATGCCCGACAGTCACTGCTTGTTTAGGAGAATTCAGACGCCCTAAAGTGCTGTCATAAAGGACTCAGGCACTGGCCACAGGGCAGTCTCTCCACCATTGTCCCCGCTGCTCCCGACACCCATGGAAACCACCACTTGCCCCAGCCAGGCTCAGCACGGTGCAGAGCTGCTCCGTGTAGAGTGACTTTACATCCCCACTCTCCAGGCCTCCTCAGGGCGTGCCCATGATCTTGGCATAGCTATTAATAGCACCCCCTTTTCACTCGCACAGTGTCCCAGTGTGGCTGATCAGTTAGCGGCTTTGGCACATACTGTTCTTGCTGCTTGAAATGTCTGCCCCTCATCTACTTGACAGTCTCCTACAACCCAGGCATCACCTCCTCAGGGAGGCCTGCCTTGATGTGCCCATGTGCCACTTTCCCTCCCCCAGCCCGGGACACAGTTCAGTGTTTCTTTTCTATTTTCCCTCATCACCTATGAATCTGCTTATCTTCTATCTGTCTGTCTTTCCCAACTGTGAACCTCTGTAGAGAAGGGACTTTAGGTCTTTGTTTCTCCAGAGTTTAGTATAATACCCAGCATGGAATAGACATGCTCAACACATTTTTTTTTTTGGTAGAATTGATTTCTTGCTCAGCAGGAGTTCCAGGCCTGATTCACTCAGTCTCAGCCCCAAGGTTTGTGGAGGAATTGCATAGATCTGTGTGTGTCTCTGTGTGTGTGTGTGTGTGTGTGTGTGTGTGTGTGTAAATAATGTCACGGATCAGGTACAAATGGAAAACCACATATATTGACTTGTGACCCCCTAGGTCCCCAGGCCTCTTGCGATGCGGAAAGAGGGGATTCAAACCAGAAAACGGAAGCCCAAGAACCTTAACAAATCGAAGACACCAGCAGGTGAGAAAAAGATCGATGTGTAATTACACGAATAACTCAGTAGCTCTCAGAGTGTGTGAGCATCGTGTATGCTCAGGTGGGCCAGCCCAGGCTACCAGGGTGTAATGATAGCATCGTCCATCCCCGGCCGTTCAGGACAGAATGCATAACCCAGTGCAAAAGTAACATCACCATGGAACATATTGGGAGCTTTTAAAGCAGGCTCAACTCATGTTGTGGCCTGGTTTTTGCCAGTTGCAAAGACTGCAGAGGTCCAGCTGGACCGGTTGAGGGCCTGGAGGAAAAAGGAACATGAGTCGGTCCCTCCATCTTTGGTGCTCCAGCCACTCAGGAACTCAAGTTCTTTCAATTTGCTTTGGGCTAAGTGGGGTGCAGGAAGACAGGGTCCTGTGAGTCATGTTCAGATTGATTTGTAACATTAATTTGTAAGCCAGTGTATAATTAACATCATGTAGTACTCTGTACCTTGCCAAGCTCCTTCACAAATATTATCTCATTGATCTTTACAGACCCCCATGAGACCCCATTTATGATCTCCATTTTACTAATGAGCAAGCTGAGGCTCAGAGAGGGCAATGACATCACAAGGGTCACACAGCTGTGAATGGGTAGAGCTGGAATTTAAACCCAAGAGTTTTCACTTCAGGGCCCATATTCTGTTCAGTATATACTCTGCCTTCTCAATTTCTAGATTTCAGAATGAGGACTACTCGGGTCCCCTACCAAGAGCACTCCCTCCTCAGTACCGCTGTCAAATTAAAGATTTCACTGGAAAATGTGGCAGTTGTGGAGAAATTAAGTCGGCTGATATGATGGAAAGTTTATCTTCTAATCTAAGGCCTGACAAAGTCAGATAAGTTTCCCTGTTCCACTGCTGAGAACATGACCAAAGTTCTCCTTTTCCAGATTCGACAGTGGCTCGCTCCTTCTGGCAGTCATGTCTTAGCAGAGCGTTCACTGGCTCACACCAGGTCCTCGGCCTTTCTCCCTGCTTCCACATTGTTTATACGAACAGCACCTTCCCCTGGGGAACTTCATCTCTTTACACGGTGGGGTCCCAGCGGGAGCAGGCATTGGCCCAGGTGTACAATCCCCTCTCCGAAATTCCAAATCCAGGGAGCTAGATTTGGCAGTAAAATGTAATCTGAACTGACACAGGCTACTCACAGTCTTCAGTTATCCCATGTGCGAATATTCCCATGTTTTGCTGTAGGGCTATTAATGTATTTAATTACGGGGTGTTGTCCCAGACCCCGCTGCAGGTATTCTGTTAATACTCAGTCTTTGTCCTTTTGAAAATCCAAAAGTTTGAATCCTGAGACACACGTAGCCCCAAGTGTTTGGGATAAGCGGTGGTGAGCCTGTCATCTGAAAAAGTTCCCTTGAAATTCTGCTACTTCTGCTTCATTGTGAGAACCGTTGCCCTGCACTGATGGAAGGACCCTGCTTCTCTCCCCAGCAAATGTAGACAAGCCGTTAGCGCGGATCTGCCCTGGCTGTCTCCAAGGGCCGCCATCCGTTTGTCCCTGCCCCTGGGCTGGGTGTCCTGACTCTGCCTTGTTCCAGGTCCCTCGGGCAGTGAGAGCCTCCCTCCCACCACCAGCGCTTCCACCGGCAGCAGCGCAGAAGAGATGCGTCCCATCAAGACAGAGCCTGGGCTCTCATCCCACTATGGGCACGGCAGCTCCCTGTCGCAGGTACTGCTCGTTGCGGGGTAGACTCCAGGCGGCCAGGCCCCCGCCCGAGGCGAGGGGCTGTCTGCACGAGGATATGTCTCAGCACATCTGATCAAGCTACAGCGATTTGGACACACGACCGTCATGCACGCGTTTAGCAGTTCCTCTATGCCAGGACCCGTGTGCTGGCACACAACATTGCTACAACCGGAATCAGAGTGCGGCCGCTGTGTGGGAGGCGGAGCGGGGCTTTCTAGGCCAGTCTGTCTCCTAAGTAAGGGTGGCTTGACCTTGGCCTTGAGGGTGGGTAGATCTTAACAGGAGGAAGGGGAGGAGGAGGCCCCTCCTGGCGTGGGCAAAGGTGTAGAAGCTGCAGAGGGCAGGGCGGGCGGGCTGGGGTTGGTGAGGAGGTCATAGGCAGGATGCCATTGTCACGAGGGTTGGCTGCGGGTCCAGCTTCACATGTGTGTCCAGAAGACGGGCCAGCAGGACCCTCGTTTCCCTCTGTCAGATACAATGGCAATCCTGTTCCTCTAGCCCTTTCCCTGTGTGGTTCCCCCATCCGGGATCAGGATGCCCCCAAGCTTGCTCACGGTCTCCCATTAACTCTGATCTCTTCTCCGCCTGTACTTGAGGCGGGCGAGTCCTAAGGAGCCTTCTGCCGTCAGGGTGAAGAGAAGCTGGTGCCCTGGGGCCAGGAGACCCAGGAGCCCCTTCTGGGCAGGGGCGGGGATGGCTTCCTTCTGAAAATGGAGATTGATGGTGAAAAGACTGTAGAAAATGCCTCGTGTGACCGTCAGAGGCTTCTAAGAAACCAGAATAGTCACAAAGCTACTGGGTCAGTGCTCAGAAGCAGCTGACAAGTCACGCAGACCCCCTGCATCCCATAGCACACAGGGGTCAGGGGAACAGAGTGCTGCCTGCTGCCTCTCCTGCCCTTGTCCTTTGGCCCTGTCCTCTCATCCCCTTCCTGGGGTGGGAGCCAGCCTGGGCACAGCTGTGGAATGGGGCTCCCCTCTCCAGCCCAGACCCCCTCCTGAGCCCCAGAAGGGATCCCATTGACCGCATCTTATACTTCTCGCTTTCAGACGTTCTCGGTCAGCGCGATGTCCGGCCACGGGTCCTCCATCCACCCAGTCCTCTCGGCCCTGAAGCTCTCTCCGCAAGGTTATGCGTCTTCTGTCAACCAGTCACCGCAGGCCAGCTCCAAGCAGGACCCTTGGAACAGCCTGGCCTTGGCTGACAGTCACGGGGACATAATCACTGCATAATGTCACCTCCTTCCCTCCTTGGATTCCTGCATGGACTTGGGACTCGGAGGACAGCAGAGATGAGGCTCTGGGCTCCCGGGGGCCGGCCTGCTCTGTCTGGGAATGACTCCAGACAACAACTGGGAAGAAACTTGAAGTCAATGATTTGGTTAGGGGAGCGGGCGCTGGATTTTATTGGATAGCTTTGCAAGGTGGGGGACTGGAGAGAGCGCAGACTCTGATCTGGAAGAGACCCCCCCCCTTCGCTAGATCACACTTAAGCCCCTTCCACGGAGTTGCAGACTCTTTCTCATTTTCTGCCTCACCACCCCTGACAAGAGACGAGATGTCCTTCTCCCTTGTCTTTCCACCGCTGTGGCCCAGAATGGTGGTTTTTCCACGGTGTTCCCGGCACGGGGGATCCGAGGGCAGGGTGCCGGGGCCCCTGCTCCAGCCTGAATCAGGGTATCTGATGGACATGTGTTTGGACGCCTTGGCCCCTCGGCGGGTCCTGCCCTCGCCCAACACTCCCCTTCCGGCTCGGCACACCTGCATCCCTCGTACTGAATCTTGACTCCAGAAACACGGGGTAGGGCCAGTGTTACCGGATGCTCCGTGGGGAGATGGAGGAGGGGCCGCTTCTCCCACCGCAGAGTGGCTTCGGCAAACTCGCAATCTGGCAACTTTGCCTCCCACGCAAGTTCCTTCCGCGGCTAAAATCGCTCCTTCTCTTCATCCCCGAGGCCTCTGAAAATAAGCGCCCCTCCACTGCTCTCGGTGATTCAGCTCTGCCCGCAGCTTGAACACGTCCCCAAATCCTTCTTCCACCCCATCACGCTCAGGGGGGTCCTGAGTAAGAACAAAAACGGTTCTGGTGCTGAAGCAAGTTTGACTAGCATTCATGCAAGACTTGAGATCTTTCTGGAGAGGATATCTAGTGGACACCATCGCCGGGCCTGGGGCCGCGCTGCGCGGGGCGGGGTTGTCAGCCTGGAATTTGCGCATGCGCCGTGGTTCCGCGGAGACGCGTCTGTTGCCGGGACTGCCGACCGAGGGCATCCGAGGGGCGCAGCTCCTGCACCCACGTCCTTCCTCCAGCAGCAGTCTTTTGTCCAGGAGGCCAAATGCTAGGGGCTTCTCAACATAATTTCAAACCAACACTACACAACTCATGGAAGAAAGACGACGAGTGATGAGAAGACACCGGGCGGGCGGCCGAGGGGGGGGGGGTGCCCTCCCACTCTCGCGGGCTGGGAATCGGCCTCCTCTCCACGTTGCTGTCTCTGCCCGTGGCCCTGGGCTCACGAAGACGCTTCCTTCCGTGTCCTGGCTGCCAACAGAATGTAGCTGACTGGCCTTCCTCTGTGCTACTCCAAACACCCAGCCCCCAGCCCAAATCCTCCTGGCGGTAGCAGAGAGTATCTTTAAACCCAGGTTCTGTTTTAATCATTTACATCGCTTTCTTCTGAGAAAGCCGCCTTCATATACCTTCCTTAATCCACAAACCTGCTAACGTTGTCTTAAGGTGAAATGGCTGTAAAATCAGTATTTAACTAATAAATTTATCTGTATTCCTCTTTCCCTTCTCCTCCTCCCTCTGAGGTCTTTCCTGGGAGGTTCGCTGCTGCCCTTTGCAAGGCAGCCCTGAGCCACTGAGGCCCCTTTGCTGATCCGCTCGCAGGCTGCGTCTGAATCGTTTCTCCCTTCATTCCTTTCGGCAGTTGGCCGAGGCTTCCTCTGTGTATGTCGGGGGCTAGTGACAAGGACTAGCTTGTGACCTTGACAGGTAACCTCTAGGCTTGGTTTCCTAGGAGAGGGTTGGACCAGCCCTTAACTAAATTTCCTGTGGCCCGGAAGTTGCCTCCCAACGAAGGGGGCATTTTTAGACCTCCCCTCGGGTACACCAGTGGCTGGAGCATGAGGCAGAGCTGCAGGGCAGTGGTCTCTCCAGCCCTCCTGGTTTGAGACGTGCACTAGACGTGCTCTGCCATCTCCTACTTTCTGGTTTGATCCAAACAAACCCCTGGAGGAGGTCAGTGGTGCTCCACGCCAGTGGCACAGAAGGTGAAAATTTCTCCTTTGTCCATTTTGTCTTCACTTTCTTAGTCTACAGAATTGCTTAATTGCTTCATCTTAAAAGTGAGGTGGGGTTGAGGGGAGCGGTCCTAAGGCCTGTGGAATGGAACGCAGACAGGCAAATCCAACCCCACTGAGAATTGTTGGCAGTAGCTTCCTGCCTCTCAGCTGGCTTATGCCAAACCCAGTGGGCAACTGGCGGCCTTTGACCTTTCACAACACCCTTGTTATTTTTGAGCAGGTAAGGGAAAAAAAACTAACAACCATTCTTCTATGTAAAATCGGAAAAGCTTTTTAATTGGCTAAGAAATAGCCAAAGCTACTAAACACAGCTACCATCCAAAGGGATGAGTAACCAATAATTCTAGCAAAGAATAACAAAAGAGATTCAAAACCAAAAATAAAACCTACCAGGATTTATGTTGGCCTTGGGGAGGACATGTTTTCTGATGATGAAGTCTTTGCTGAGAACATTTTTGCCACTTCCCTTTAGGAATGGTTTTCAGAAGGATACACACACACACACACACACACACACACACACACACTATACCAGAAGATTGACCTCATTCCTTATATAGTCATAACTTATGCTTCACTCCAGATGGTAAAATCCAGCTTGATTCAGCCTCCTTGCTCACCAGACTTGGCTGCTTTCCCAAATCGATGCATCCTCAGAGTAAGTCAAGTTGCTACCAATCAGGATACTCAAAAGGATGCAATTCCCAGATGGTTGGGAAGTGGCTGGAGGTGGGGTGGGGGGGTAGGGGGCCAGCAACGAGAAATGTCTGGCCTAACACGGTGAGTGCAGCAGCCAGTGGCATGTGTTCGGGCTCAGACATCCCTCACATTCCCTTTCGGGCTCACCTCTCACTATGACAAAAATTCTGAGGCACAGGCCAAATCATTTTAACAGTCAAGAGCATTAATCCTTAATTTTTGGATGCCTTTAGGGGTGAGTAGTAGCAGATTTAGCCATGATTATGTTTGGCTTGGGTTGACAGTAGTGAAAATAAGTTTATATTCACTGAACATGCATCAAATGGAGCGGGACTGGAGTTTATTTGATGTGCCCCCCTTTCCGAGCCCGCAGAACTTACCGACTTGGATACTAGCGCATGAGAAACAGCCACTTGGAAAGCTGCTTTTGGAGTGGAGGTGACTGGTTTTCAGTTTTTTAAATCATTTTCTGACATTGGAAACTACTCTTCAGATTGCGTCCTTGCCTTGCTTGAAGCTGGAACACAAACACGCCACCATCCTTACCAACACAGATATGTATCTTCCCAGAACCAAGGACCAGCCTCAAAGCTTCCAGGTTTAGCCTGGGAAGTGGAATCCATGCTCCTGAGGGCTCCCTGCCCTGGACACTGTTGCTTTCCGTTCAGTTCCTTAGCCTCCTGGGACCACTGCTGCTCTACTTCACCCTGGCTCCTGTGCAATTTTTATCTCCCCTCCAACAGCTGCAGCTGTAACGTTTGTAAAAAGATTTCAATAACAAGGAGAACTAAATAATCCGAGCAAGAATGGCATTAAAACAGACCTAGTTTCTCAAAGTCCAGTTTTCTTTGGGTCTATGCATGACTAGATCACTGGTTGAAGCCTGGGGGATTGTGGGTTTGGTTTTACAGAAAGAGGCGATCATACACAGCCGTGCTCTGGGCTAACAGGAACAGTGGAACCAGGAAAAGCCTGCAAGGTACCCGGTGGTGCTCTTGAGCCCCAGCTTAGCAGCGGTGGCAGGCCCTGTGCGAGGGGGTTTTCAGACAGACCCAAAGAGGGAGCTTCTCTTGAGTGAAGGGTGATAACATGAGATCCCCACACCCCGTCACGCACACACTCCATCCCCTCCCTGCTCTGCGGTGACTGCCTTCTGTCCTACAGCTGTGGTGGCCTCGCTTCACCTGAGAAATAAACGTGACTGCATAGGTTTTTAACCAGATGCACTTGAAGTTCAAATCACTGGGCAGTCTGGAAGTTCCAAATCAGTGAATCTCTGATTGCAGGACTTAATTCAGATGAAGTTCACTACTAGTAAATGATACTAGTGAACACTACCAATAGACCCCTGTTACAACCAAGATGTTGTAGTTTCTTGTGCCACTGCTTCTTTAAGATAGATTTACTCAGATGAATTGGGTTGTAATTAGACATGTGAAACATTTAGCTCTATCATTCCTCCTCTGTCCTTTTCCTTTAGAACTCATGAAAATAAAAAATTGAAAAGGTCCGTTATTTCTAGGGTTCTTGATTCTCTTAAGACTTCGGGGCTGGGCTGGGAAACAAAAGAGGTAAGACTGAAATAACAGAATCCTAAACAGACTTTTGACCAGGACTCTGCTGAACAAAGCAATGAGTGATACCAGCTAATGTACTTTACAGTGTAAAGCCATTGCTTTGTACTTAGTCAGAGAATCCCCCAGACTTCTCTGTAGTGGTATGGGCTGGACACACTTTCAGGAAGTCTTCCTGTCCCCCCACCCCTTAACATCCTTGCAGATTTCCTTAATGTGGCCTCCAGCCTTACCACAGCCAAAGTTCCCCCTTTACCCCACCCCTACGTTTTGAAATTATTTTGTCTACATAATTATTTGGCTTTTCTCACTTTTTATAGATCAAAACCCAAACTGCATACAAATTACACTTCAGTTTTTAAAAGAACAGAAAGCATAACTGCTCATCTTTACTGACAAGTACTACCGATAGTCCGTAACACTAAGCTGATTGAATTCCCGTCTTTGGCAGAGATGCTCGATTTAGGTTGCTCTGCACTCTTGGTATGGCTATCGGATAGATGGTTACCTTGGGGCTTTTTTGACTATTTGAAAATGGCTCACGGGGTCCTATTGGGTGAATCTCTGGGTCCCGGGGGCTCTCGGAGGGGACCACTACCATACAATCACTTCCTGGAACAGATTCTGTACCCATTTCCACCCGTGCTTCTGCTTCCTTGAAAAGTAAGGGAGGGACTTCCCTGGCGGTCCAGTGGTTAGGACTCCACACTTTCACTGCCAAGGATGCGGGTTCAATCCCTGGTCGGGGAGCTAAGATCCCACAAGCTGTGTGGCACGGCCAAAAAAAGAAAAAGAAAGAAAAGAAAAGTAAGGGAGGAGCCCGCCAGAAAGAGCTAGACACGGGATTCTGAGGTTTCAGAATTCTAGCCCAGGTTTGGCCAGTGTCTAGCTGTGTGACTCTGGGCATTTCACCAAACTGCTCTTCACCTCAGCAGCTTCATCTGCAAATGTTTTGGAGGAGGGAATCTTTAAGTTCTCTTTAAGCTCTAAGCAGTTGTGAGAGCAGAAATAATCCGAAATTATCCTTGCCATATCTGGTATCACGCAGGGAGCACAAGTCC